ACACTGGAAATTGTAGCTCTATGTGGGACATGGGGGTCTCCTATCAAATCTCAGTACCCTTAACAAACTACAGTTCCAGGAAGTAGGAAGCGGTGACGGTTTAAAGTGGTGGGTTACTGCCATAAATGCATAGTGCAGATGGGGCCCAGGTTACTGTCTTTGCTGTCACAGCAGCCCCGGAAGGAAGGTCTCTTGTTATTTCTATGTTATAAAGAAAGAAACTGAGATTGAAAGGTGTGACACTTGCCAAAGGTCAATGTTCGTGGTGGAAAAGGAACTTGTACCCTGATCCAAATTCAGTGCTCTGCACTGGCTTTCACAGAGTTGTAGAAGATGGCCAAATGCAAAGTCTAAGTTTGCATACAAATCGGCTTCTCCCCTGCCCACCACCAAGAATGGCACACTTTCAGTTTTAGCAATCTCCCTACCACCACCTACATCAATAAGAGCCATAAATTTAAATAAAAAGAGCCTACCAGAACTTTCTAATTCCTTCAAAGATATGAAGGGGGTGTTGTATAAGACAGAAGACAAGAGAAGGAGCTAAACAGCGGACCCAAGAGTGAAATTAAATACCTCGGGTTAAGTACTTAATTCGTTCCGGAGGTCCGTTCTTAACCTGAAACTGTTCTTAACCTGAAGCACCACTTTAGCTAATGGGGCCTCCTGCTGCCGCCACGCCGCCAGAGCACGATTTCTGTTCTCATCCTGAAGCAAAGTTCTTAACCCAAGGTACTATTTCTGGGTTAGCGGAGTCTGTAACCTGAAGTGTATGTAACCCAACGTACCACTGTATTATGTTATTCACATCTCCAGTCCTTGCTGGCTGATTCCCCCTTGCCCCAATAAGTAACCAGTACAGAATGTTTTCTTTATCTTTATCTTTAGATGAACACTTTTAGTATTTCTATTGTTATTTTTTTAATACATTTCTTGTTTTATAATTACATTTATATTTATATTCTACCGTAAATTGATTTAGGATGCCTTTTGAATGTTGTGAAATGATACATAAATATAACAAACAAAACTAAAACTAAGCTTTGCCCTGCCTCAGGCTTGATCTAAATCAGAAAAGGGCACACCTGCAATTTGTAATAAAACAAAAGTATTATTTTCTGGTGAAGTCAGATCTTGCCACAATAACACATGGGTTCATTACTTCCCTGCTGAAAAATGGTCAGAAACCTCTGGTGGCACAAGAATGCAACAGGTAGGATGCTGATGGGACCACATTTTTGATCTTCATGTTACATCTGAATTGCATCAAGTTCATTGGCTCCCCAACTTGTCTCCAGATCCATTTGAAAGTGCTAGTTTTGGCCTTTAAATATCTAAATGGTTTAGGATGCGGACTGTGCTTTATTGATTATTGCTGTATTTTGATTGTGTGCAGCTTTGAAACTTTGAAAATGCTGTGAAACTGAAAGGTATGAACAAAAAAAACCCATAGCTACATTTCCCAGCACTATCTTGCAAAACAAATATAACTGACATAATTTAAACTAACCCTCTACTGTTCTACGACCTCCTCTATAATTTCCTAAGATTTCATAGGAAAATAGATGCAAAGTTTACAGTTTACAGGGTTCATGTGACTTAGCTAAAACTCCATGAGGAATTGAAAGTACAGTGGTACCTTGGGTTAAGAACTTAATTCGTTCCAGAGGTCCGTTCTTAACCTGAAACTGTTCTTAACCTGAGGTACCACTTTAGCTAATGGGGCCTCTTGCTGCCGCCGTGCGATTTCTGTTCTCATCCTGAAGCAAAGTTCTTAACCTGAGGTACTATTTCTGGGTTAGCAGAGTCTATAACCTGAAGCGTCTGTAACCCGAGCTACCACTGTATCAAGAACAGAAAGTAGGAGAGAAAGGCTCAAGAAGTGAGTAGGAAGTAGTGGTGGTAAGAATGACCCATATTATATCATCTGATGAGTGACGAACCGTATGATTCTACCGTCCTGATGGCTTTGCAGCACCAATGGGGAACAGAAAGACCTTTGTTTTCACATTCAGACCACAAAACACTGATAAACAAAGGAATCTCCCATTTTGAAACTGCGAACAGAATGCTAATGAATTTTCTTACAAATAATTAATTGTCATCATGACCTTATATATGTTACTATTTTATTTTTAAAAGTTAATTCTTTTTAAGGTTTGAAAGGATCAATGACAGGAAAATAATAACCCTTTTCTGGTTTTCCAACACTACAGGGAACATTGCTAAAGGGATAGGACGAAATACTGTACAGCTTGAGCATGCCTATCTTTATTTCAAGAATTGTTAATAAACAAAGCTGCATATTATATGCATAGTATTATATGCACTAAGGAATATCACAATAAGATGTCCACACCTATGTCATTAATGATATCAGCAATTTATTTCATTTATATCTCAGGCCGTAGTTTTCAGAGCAACTCACAGCAGCCCATTGAAAGATGTTGTAGGACTGTGATCTGATGCACACTTCATTGGGAGCAGCAGCAACTATTAGTGAATTCAGTGGGACTTATTTCCAAGTAAATCCACGCTTATCAATGGAATGAATATATTAGTTTTAGAGCACTTTTACAGCCATGGCAATTCTAGTGACTGTAGTCTTAGCAATTCTAGTGACTGTAGTATGGTAAGAATGATTGCAATTTTTTTAGAAATTCCTAGTCCACACACTCCATTACAGAAGTACAGGTCTTTGGGGAAAAGAAACAACGAATCAGACTAAGACTGTGATCCTGTGTGCACATACCTGAGAATATTGAATATGTCGGGGCTTACTTTAAACTGTATATATTTGCACTGCACACTTTTAGTAAAGATTCACCTGTTGGGTTTAAACCCCTTTGTTTTCTGGGAAACAGCTGTTGTGCATACTTGACGTAAGTAACTGCTAGGGAAGTGTGGTTTTCTACACAGCTAGTGTAACCGCTGCCATTGCAGGTGCTGCGTGGAATGTGGATGTATGAATGTCAGGACAGGAGATTTACTTTAAAAGAAGACAATTTAGAGGCTAAGTGTCTCTCTACACTATGTACAGCGCAGGAAAACTTATTATTTAACGAACTCAGTGATAAACATCAGCAAATTTACTTTCTCATCTGTTGCAACATTCTCTCGTTTTGTGAGCCTTTTAAATAAATAAATAGGTAGACAGATAGATAGAAAGATTAGATAAAATGAACTGTGTGTTCCCCTTTCCAGCACTGGGCTACATTTCTCTCCAGATTGTTGTTGTTGAACAAGCGTGTGCTTATTTCATCAATCAAGACAATGCCACTGCAGCCAAACACTAGTGTTCAAGGTAACTCAGTGAAACTGGCTGGCAGTATATTCAAGAAAAACAAAGACGTTTTTTCCCCCAGGCAGCACATAATTAACTTATGAAATTCACTTCCATTGGACATGGCTTGCCTTAGATAGTTCCAAAAGGGCGTTAGACAAATTCATGGATGACAGGTCAACCAATGTCTATTTGCATGATGGCTGAGTGGAGCCTCCAGCCTGAGAGGCAATATACCTTAGAATGCCAAATGCCAGAACAAATGACAGGAGGGCTCTGCTAATGCTTTGTTTGTGGGCTTCCTGAAGGTATTTGGCTGGCTACAGATGGAAACAGGATACTAGACAAGATGGACTTTTGTCTAATCCAGCAAGGCTTCCTTTCTTTTATTATGTTCTTAATTGCATCCCATCCCTTTCCATGAGACCAGGATATCATGCTGTTGGTGCTGGGTCCATGCTAATGCAACTATAGCACACACACACACACACACACACCACAAACATGTATGGGATTTAATAGCATCTGAAAAAGTCTTGCATTTGAAGAGTGGGTAAAAAAAATCATGAGATCTGTGGGAATTTACTCAGGAATGAATGTGGGGTACCTTGACTGTGGAGTACATTTATGTTCAGATGAATGCCACAAAACCTAATAGGTGTGATCCAGCTTTAACAAAATCAGTGGAATGGTTGTAACTGATTTCTTTTAGAGATATTTTGAACCCAGAGCACGCAGAAATCCCAAGGCAGTATTTACATTGTGCTTTGGGGTGCTTTAAATAATGGTGCTGCTAGCTAATTTAAATGCTTAATGTGAAGCATTTTAAGGAGTGCACTAGGCTGTGATGTTGAAAGAGCCATAGCTTACAGTGGCAGCGGCAGAAGCAGCACCAAAAGCAGACTGGCTCCAACAGTATCTACAGAAACAGTCGCACTAAGAAGGGTGTTTCCCGTTGATGTACAGCAACAATTCTCAAACATTCTCCCCTGAGGACCACTTGAAAATTGCTGTGGGTCTCAGTGGACTACTTAATAAACTTCTGTTGTTCTACAAATTAAAGCACATACATAATTTACGTTTTCATAACTACAGTCTTGCCTTTGTAAAGAGATGGATCCGCCTGTTTTGTTGAGCAATGCACTGTGATCACTGTCACCAGGGTGGGGGTGGGGGGAATACTGTAAAAAGTGCAGCTGTTCTCGACTGTTCCACAGCTTTTCCTGAATGGAGCTCATGAGCCACAAGTTGTCCATAGAACACAATCAGAGGCAGATTTTAGGCTCTTAAATTCAGTGTGTGTCCCAGTCCCCCCACCTCTCACGCTCTAATCTGCAGCACTGTACGCCCCTCCTGCAGGGCGGTGCCCAGAGCAAGTGTACCGGTCATGCTACCCTAAAATCGCCTCTGACACAGTTTGAGACTTTCTGCTCTGTAGAGTACACTTGCTGGCCCTTGGGCTGCCAGGTGGTATCAGTTTTAAGGAGCTTTAAGGATACTTGGGAATTTTCTTGCTACACATCTGCACATTTAAGAGATCATGCATGCTACGTCTTGAACACATCGCCTTCCATCAATAAACAGGAGAATGGCATTCAGCCTGTGCCACTTCCAAACAATCCACATGACTCACAGAAACCATAGAATCATAGAATTGTAGAGTTATAAGGGACCCTGAGGGTCATCTGGCCCAACCCCCTGCAATGCAGGGATATTTTGCCCATCATGGAACTTGAACCCATGACCCTAAGATTAAGAGTCTCATGGTCTACCAGTTGAGCCATCCCATGTGGGAGCTTAACTGCTTGGTCTTTGCTGCACAGTGGTAGGGGAAAGGTGCCTTTTCCAGGGGCACTTAATGTGTTTAACTGTGTCCTGCAGCATTGAACATGGAATGTAGAAAATGCGGCCTTATGCGCATGCCTTTGTAGCATTTTAAACCATGCTTTATTAGGATATAACAGACTCTGAGAGCATACATTTTTACTGGCTTAATATCTGTAGGTTTTTAAATGTATTACTATGCATTGCATATACCATAACACAAGAGTTTCTCTTTAACAGCAAATTAGAATGTATGTACTACTTCAGAATGTATGTATCACTTTAGAATGTTTAAGCCTCCTCCCATGCGTTTTCTCAGCATCATTCAGTGGCAATGAAAAGATTTGGAACTGCATGTGCAGGTTTCTGCCAGAAGATGGTGCAAGGTTCCAGAATGGAAAGGTGAGTTGTGGGGGATGCATGGCTCGTCAGAACATTGATTGAGGCCATGTAGAGATTGTGAATGGTGGGCGGTGAACCCAGGAAGCGCATGATTGAACCCAAGCTGCTCTGGTTATCAGAATAGAATGTTTCTGTCATCTACAAACACATCTGACACATTTAGAATGCCTGCTTTTGAATCTTTTAACTGTTATTTTGCTGCTGTTCCTCCATAAGCCGCTTTTGTTGTCTTTCGAAGGCCAGGTATGCACTAAAAAGCAAATGAACACATAAATTTCACGTCCCACCATAATCACTGCTAAACTTTTGATGACCCTAAGCTGCATCAGTTTTGCTCTGTGACAAAAGCCAAGGTCCCTGCTAGAATCTGCCGGAAGGCAAGAGAATTCTCCATTTCCCAGTTCTCTGGGTGTGTTCATCATGGATAGTGATGCTTCCTGAGAAGAACAGGCCTCCCATTCTAGTCCATCCATTCTTTCTGCCGATCCGAAATGTATACTGTACTGTCAAGCCTGTGTAATTTGCAAGGAACCTGGGAAATTCTGGGCAGCAGTTGGCTTGTTACACTTTCTTGCACACAAAGCTGGATAATATTATGACAAGCAACAGAGATCAGTTCAGCTGGCCCAGATAAGACAGCCAACAAGCACACATTTCAGAAAGGTTCCCACCACCCCGCCCACCTTATAGGCCAACCTGTAGATTTTTGGTGCTAGTCCTTCTCAATCAACAACAAATCGAGCATCAGCCAGTGGTTAGGCTAAGCCAGACAGATTGTTCCTGCCCTCCGTTGTGCATCTGAAAATGCTAAGCGCAGGAAGCGGTGCCCACCAGCTGAGAGGGGAGGACAGAGCCATATGCAGCCTGGCAGAGAAGAACAGACTCCCAAGCAAAGGCCAACCGGCTGAATGAAGAGGTGGGATTGGCAGGAAGAGAGCACAACAGAGATGGGCACCATGTGTCGGTTCCTGCAGGCTGCTCAATAATCCCTTTGGGAAAGTTTCCAGCCAAAGGAAGGAGGAAGCATTAGCAAGTGAAGCCATCTGCCAGGGGAATAGGAAAAACATGGGGGCGACTACCTCCAAATTGTTCAGCTACCTAAACTATCTGAAGAAACAAGTGGGCTCAGAAAAGATCCTGACAAAGCCAGGCTCAAGCTGGGAGATATAGCAGCCTCTTGCACTGGGGGAGTCAATCATGTACAGCAAGGCCTAGCCTTATTTGAAGAGGAAAAAGCAAGAGAAGAGTGAGCTGCAGTGAATGCTAGTGAGACACAAAGTCAGAAGACAGCGAAAGCCTAGTATGTTTCAGAGGGTGCTTTCCCAGGCCCCACCACAGGCATAGGCAAACTTGGCCCTCCAGATGCTTTGGGACTACAATTCCCATAATCCCTGAACACTGGTTCTGTTAGCTAGGGATGATGGGAGTTGTAGTCCCAAAACAGCTGGAAGGCTGAGTTTGCCTATGCCTGCCCCACCAGGTCTCACCAAGAATCCCAGAACCTGTTCCTTTCCTCTTTCTTTGAGTTTGTGTGTGTGTGTGTGTGTGTGTGTGTGTGTGTGTATATATATACACACACTTTGCCTAAGTCACGAATTCCCTTGCCCCGTGCCCTACTGGAACTCTTGCCAACTGGACTCGCAAAGAGCTGTGTCCAGTCATTACACATCAGCTGCTACGAATCTTTCAGGCAGCACCAGGCCTGATAATAATAATAATTAGGAATCTACAGCAGTGCCCAGCGAGTAATGCAAGGGTGTGAACTTGCTCCCTTTGGTACCCACTGATTTCCCACCTTTGCCAGAATTGGCAAATCTCACTCTTTGGGGGTTGTCAGTTGGCACTGGGTCTTGGAAAAAGCAGTGTTGTCCAAGTTGAAGGGCAGCACAGCAGTTGTATTCATGAAGCACTGGCCAGTGAACACTTTTTTTATTTTTTTGCTTTAAGAGATGCTGAAACACAGGCTCACGTCAAAGAGCTGCAGACACAGATTGGTGGGAGCAAATGGGGATTTGATTATGCTATTCTATGAAGGCTGATTAGCATGCTTTAAAAAGGATTCAAAGGGAAGGCTGAGCCGGAAAGAACTGTTCATCAAACTCCCTTCCCATAAAGCATCCATCCCATCTGCACATGTCTTCCCACCTGGGAGCGGAGGATGTAACTCCCGCATCTCATTTCCCAGCCCACAAACACAATGACAGCAGCGTTCCAGGCTTCACCACTGTCAAAGTGGCACACAGCAAGGCCACTGAGACTTCACGCCATGCAGCAGCAGGGACAGCTCACAGTAGGAGCCCCGCATCCTGGCTGCACAAAGTGCCTTTCTTTAGCAGCATTGCACCTGTTTACGATGGGAGTGCTTGGCGCAGGCCATGGCTACTGCGACAGTTCCAGAGAATAAAGAACTGTAAGGAATGGGATATTGATCAGGCTGAAGGAAATTATGAGGCATTTGTGGATAAGATTTGAAACGGGAAAGGGAAGTACGTCCTAGTTGGCTCCAGCAGGGCAGGACTTTGGGGCAGACGTCTAGGGCTCCATTCAGCAGAATGATCAAGAGGGCAGATCAGCAGGGCTGTCTTATCAGATTTTGAAATGAAGTAATACTAGCACCTAAAGGAAAGTGGGTGGGATAAGACCATTAAGTCCAGAGTCTGAAATTAGCTAACTGCACCACTGAGCACATCAAACCCTGTAGAGATAATTATCTTTCAATGTGATACAGTTGGCAGGTTGCAAGCTTTTGAGCTTTGTACTTTGTTCTGAAAACAACAATGCCAAGGTAATCCAAGTACTGTACAAAAGAAAGCTGACGTCTGCAGACCTACATATACTTTTGCACACTGTATTGTTCAACTTACCAAATGTGTGGCCTTTTCCTATTCTGCAGAAAGAGGGAAGTTTTGGAACTCACAATGGCATATTTTAAAGGTCTAAATCTCCTATAGTTTCATGCTTTACTTTGCCGCATATTTTGTTATTTTAAATCTCTGCTGGGGTTCTCTCAGCAAAGAGTATTTCCCCCCAACCTGGATCCTGGTATCCAGGAATTTATTAACAGACAGACAGACAGATGATAGATAGATGATAGAAGATAGATTAGATAGATAGATAGATAGATAGATAGATAGATAGATAGATGATAGACAGATATAGGTTTCTCTTGCACCAACATAATGCACATTGGTGAAGGCATCTCCACCCCCTCTGTGTACAACATGCAAGAGAGGAACGACCTTGCTGAATTTTAAGCTGCTAATGTGTACATAGCCTTAGTTTATTGAAACATCTTCAGGCTTTGACCAGTCACTTTCAAAACTATTTCTGAAGGTGCATAAAAGCTTGAAAGCTAAGAGTCTCTTATGCCAGGAACCTTTCATCTGGAAGCACCCTCAGGTTACTGAATTTGGCACTCCATGACAATGTTTGTGCTTGTTCTACCTGTGGAATAGCAGAATCATAGACTATATACAGTGGTACCTCGGGTTACATACGCTTCTGGTTACATACGCTTCAGGTTACAAACTCTGCTAACCCAGAAATAGTACCTCGGGTTAAGAACTTTGCTTCAGGATGAGAACAGAATTCATGTGGCGGCGGCACAGCAGCAGCGGGAGGCCCCATTAGCTAAAGTAGTACCTCAGGTTAAGAACAGTTTCAGGTTAAGAACGGACCTCTGGAACAAATTAAGTTCTTAACCTGAGGTACCACTGTACAGCCCTAATCCTTGGGCTACAAGAGGTAGTGAAAGTGCTAGGGCTTTGCAAGTATTTAATTGGGTTTGTATAATAGATAGCAAGTGCATTGTACTAGGTTTTTCTTCCTCATACTCCTCCACCAATTTTGAGAAACGTTCTCTGGGCTGTCTTGTGATCTTTCTTGTGATCTTCCTTATTTCTGTGCTTCTCCTCAAAACTTCAGAATTTGCAAACTCATGGTCTGAGCTTAAAAAGTGCTATATCACTGCATAAAACAGCTGAGTCTGTGGTTCTCATTGCAAAGGCATAAGTGATGTGTTTACATTAGCAAAGACTACAATCCCACTACTGGTATTACAACACTGTCACCCTCCCTGCTGTGATAACTTGTCAAGCACGTGAAGATGAAAAGGAAACTCCAATAGACCGGGAACCAAGTTGTCATGACTTTGTGTAGTTAAGAGGTCCTCATGGAAAATTACATTTTGTGCTCAGGCAGTCTAAAGCAGATTTCTAAGATGCAAGTAATAAGTGGCAGGTTACAAACCTCATTATTATTATTTTTCTATTTTTCTAAATCTACACAACCTCATCTCTTCCCAGAACATCCCATTAAGCCCCTTAAGAAGTGTCTCAATTGTTTCCCTGCTATTGTGTAACCAAAGCTTCAGTCCTTATCAAGATGTAAGTACCTCTGAACTCAGCAAGTTTCCATGTAAACATATTTAAGCTCACACTGCAGAGGGTTGGACTAGATGACCCTCAGGATCCCTTCCAACTCTGTAATAGTGCTGCACTGTAAACAGCTGCTGCAGTGAAGCATTAAACTCTGGAGAGCACAGGGTCAAAAGCATCAGTGAATCCTAAATTCTGGAAGTAGAATTAGATCCTACAAGAATGATTTCCATTTGGGGTAATTTCCAAACCACCTTGGAAATTCCCATCAGGGAAAGGGGTATAAATAAAATATATAAGAATACATACATACATACATAATTTTATTTGTATGCCGCTTTCCGATAGTTAAAACCGTGCTCAAGGTGGCTTTCAGCATAACAAAAGTAGTCATAATAATGGCTGCCAGCTCCAGAGAAACAGGCAGAGTAAGTGACAACACTGAACAAATGTCCTGCCTGCTGCTCTGGGAGTTTTGGGGAGCAGAAGAGCTACAGTGATGGTTACACCATGGGAGCAGCATTAGTGTGGGATCTGTTGAAAGAGATGGCTGTTTGGGGAAACGGGTGAATCTTCTAGAATTCAGAGAATGAGTCTCTCTGGTTCATAGACTCATATAGTTGGGCTGTGTACACATTACCAGCTTGAAACACAGCTTGCTCATTCTTTTTCTCAGTTTGTATTGAAGCAAGTTTTTGGGGAAATGCATCAAAATGCAGCATTTCCTAACAAATGACAGGATAGAAGTGGCTTGTGGCTAGCATCATGTGTACACTGCTTCCCAAACCAGCAGTGGAAACCACACTGGATGCAGAATCAATAGGAGTGTTGGCCCAGCCTTGAAAGACCTCAATTCCAAACTTCTCAATTCAGAATATCCTCTAACAGAGGAGTGCCTAGTTTCTGCCTGAAGGACCTCGAGCAAGGGAGAGTGCCCACCCCTGGCAAGTGCCCTCCATGTCAAACTGCCCTGGCCATCAAGAGGTTTCTTCCTAAAGTTCCTCTGAAATCTACCCTTAACTCTGCTCTCTGGGGCAGCTGCGAACAGGTATTTGCCCTCTTCTGTGTCACAGCCAAGTGCTGAAATAGGGCTGAAAGGAAACTCATACCAACTTAGCTGGTCTCTAAGGTGCTACTGGAAGGAATTTTTTATTATTTTTTATTATTTTATTATATTATATTTGTTTTGTTTCATTTCAACTACGGCAGACCAACACGGCTACCTACCTGTAGCCTCCCTGGTGTCCCTGCACCTACCACAGGAATAGTTGATAAGCCTGAGAGATAAGGATAACAAGTAGGCTTGTGTTCCTGCAACTCCTGACCTCTAGTGCTAGTGCTTACTAGGTAAACAAACCCATCTGTCTGCAACATAAAGTGTATAGGTAACGAGGCCGCCCTGCAGGAAGAGTAAGGGATAGATGAGAAAAGTGATGCTTAGCTCCATATGAAGGATCACATCAGGGGAAAGGGCCCAAAAGGGCATTAGAGAACCCTCGTCACACTTTTTGTGACATTTTGGTGGGTCCCAATAAAGACATTTCCCAACAGCAGATTTTGGGAGTTTATTATCCGCTGAGTATTCACAGGAAGACACAAGCATTTTTAAACCAAGGAACAATGGATGAGGAAAGCATAAAAAGCATATCTCTTATTCACAGTGATACATGTTTTGTGTGTGAAAAATTAGGAGCCAGGCAGTTTTGGAGCTGCCAGGGAGCAAGGGGGTGAGTGAAGGATGCAAGTTGGAGAAGACCTGCTTCTAAGAAAGGCTGAGAAAACAAAGAGAAAACGGGTATATAAACATGGGGGCAGGGATTGGAAAGCTTAAAAAGTGAGAGGGATTGAAGAAATGGGGAAGAGAAGAGAAATGAGAAGGAAAGTGGAATAAAAGCGAGAGAGGTATTTGGTTCTAAGAAGGATGTGTTAAAAAGAACAAAAAGTTGCAGGGAAAACAATCCAGTTTCTCCATCATATTTTTCTAGCCTCAAAGACCTCACCAATTTTGGCAGCAGCAAAAAGAGGGGGGAAGTAGGCAAAGCTTTGGGTTTGACAGAACTTAACACTTCCCAGTCATCAGATTATCTGTATTTTTAAATTTTAATGCCATTTTGATTTCATCACATTTCATCACAGCCAGCAGTGGCCAAAGGAGAATGTGGCCCTTCGATCAGCTACACCTTAACACAGAGCTACACACATTGTTGGCAGGAGGAGAAATCTACTTCCTGTTCTCATCAGCAATTCAAGTGCCAGTCACCAGGCAGTTTTAAAGTTGAACATCTGAGGCTGGGTTGCTGCATTTCCGTCCATTCACATGGGCCATTCCCAGCACACGCTTTTACTATATAGGTAAATGAGATGGTCTCTGCAATCCTATATTCAAAATTAAGTCACATGTTTTTAAATAGGGCTTACTCTAAGGAAAGTGGGTACAGGATTGCAGTCTGTTTCAAGGCCCTATTTAAGCCTTGAGTGTGTTACTGGTTCCAGACCCTCCAAGTGTCCCTATTTTCCAGGGACAGTCCCAGATTTACAGAAGCCATCCTGTTTTCTGATTTGATCCCAGAATGTCCCGCTTTTCCTTAGGATGTCCCTATTTTCATCAAATAAAGTTTGGAATGTATGGAGTTACGTGACCCCCGAGCCAAGGAGATAAGCAATTATACATCTGAAGGCAGCCCTGTATAGGGAAGATTTTTCATGTTAAATGTTTTATTGTGTTGTGATATGTATTGGAAGCTGCCCAGAGTGGCTGGGACAGCCCAGTCAGATGGGCATGGTATAAAGAAAATTGTTGTTCTTGTTGAATAGGATGTCCCTATTTTCATCAGAGAAATGTTGGGGGGTATATTGTTCCCTACCATTTTTACTCCACTCTAATAAGCACTTCTGGCAGTCTTGGCAGATAAGAGCCATAGGGCCTCTTCTACTAAAGGTGAGGTGCTGACTCCACCCTTTGAGAAATCTGATCTGTTGGCACCAGGATTCTTTGCACGAGCCACACTGGCCATAGACTTTGCTAATGGCTTCAGGAAGTGCTTTCCCTTGTGCTTGCAATACCTGAGTACAGTGAGGATTGTAATGGCTCAGTTGCTGATGCAGGCCAAAGGGATGCTGGGAGATTGATAGAGTCACAAATCCACATTTTAAAAGTTGACTTCCACAGAGTCCTTTTTGAGCACTGGCGGATATCCCAAGCCTCAGTTATGCTTTGAGTATCATTTAGATTCCCACCCCAGCCCCCGCCCTCCCACTGCAAGGTGATATTTTGCTGTCAACTGATGATGAACATTCGCAAACATTTGAAGCCTCTGAATGGTTCAGCCCACACAATATGAATTCAGCAAGCCAGGCTGCCTCACTTGTGCAAGCCTGAAAACATGTTCAGCCTTTTGTCAGCTGCGGGGCAGAGGAATGAAGAAAGCACGCTTGTGGCAAGAAAATACGGGCACATGAATTTTACCCATAATCGGCTGCTTCATCCAAGTGCACAGTGTGTACCTATATTATGCCATACCTGATAATCCGTAAGAGGCATACACATTTTATTTTTACATGCTGTATGGTGTTGGGGGCAATTGCCGCTTGCTTGCTTCAGGGTGCACACACACAGGGTCTCAGAAGTCGTTTGAATAATGTGAGGAAAAGTAGGGGGCCTTAATGAAATTTACAAACGCTCTCTGCCTAACACCTGCTAGACAATTACAGACAAATTGTGCCCCCATACATTTCTAAAAATAGTAGCTAAGGGGGCTGTCATAAAAGCTAAGGAGGGGGCAAGCCCCAGTGTAATCGAAGCCCCGCTTGTCTCCCTCACAGATTATGAAATCCTTCCATGGTTATGCTACCCACGCAGCAGCCTACCTAGTTTTGTAATGTGCAATATGGCAATTAGTGGAACTAGTGGCCAATTAGTGGGCCGAGAAGCTTTTGTCTCACTTGCTTCTCTGAATGACTTCCCCAAATCCCCCCAGTGAATCACTGCTAAAATCAGGTATACAAACATGAAACCTACTTAGGTATTTATTGCAGCCGCTTCCGCAAAGGCTGGAACCAGCGAGCCTTGCAAATCCATTGCTGCTAAGAGGCTTGGCTCGGGAAGTGCTATATATAACCAGCTCCGGCAGCCCACGCTCCCCCCGCCAGAGACACCTCCACACACTCCACATTCTCTCTATTTCTGGAAGAAACATTTATTTCCAAGTCCTTAAAAATATCAAGGGTGCTTTTTCTCCTCCTCCTCCTTTTACGTAAAAGGCTGGTGCTGCCTCCCTCTACACTTCTGCCGGCTGGGGGAGCAGAGCAGGCAGAGGACTGGCAGGAAGTGCCCATAGGCAGTTAACATGACGTGAAACGTGGGGTCTCGGGAAGGCTGAGGAAATTTTGCCTTCGCAGGAGTTGTATCACAATCTTTTTGGGCTCAGCCATCCTCTTTCCAGGGAGCCTTTTGCTAATCCTCATGCCACACCCCCCCCACTGCAAAATAGTAAGGTAAAGGTAAAACATAAAGGACCCCTGGATGGTTAAGTCCAGTCAAAGGTGACTATGGGGTTGCGGTGCTTATCTCGCTTTCAGGCCGAGGGAGCTGGCATTTGTCCACAGACAGCTTTCCGGGTCATGTGGCCGGCATGGCTAAACCACTTCTGGCACAACAGGACACCGTGACGGAAACCAGAGTTCATGGAAACGCCGTTTACCTTCCTGCCACAGAGGTACCTATTTATCTACTTGCACCGGTGTGCTTTTGAACTGCTAGGTTGGCAGGAGCTGGGACAGAGCAATGGGAGCTCTCTCCGTCACACGTATTCGAACCGCCGACCTTCCAATCAGCAAGTCCAAGAAGCTCAGTGGTTTAGACCACAATGCCACCCGCAAAATAGTATAACTAGGTTGTGTGCTCACCATACATTTAAATCATTCTTTAAACAGTGGTGCAGCAATAAAACTGCTAGCACATTTGCAAAGCTAAGCAGGGTCCGGCATGGTTTCCTATTGGATGGGAGACTGCGTGCTGGGATTCCTGCATTCTAGTTGGAAGACTACAGAGCTGACCCTGATCCTACAGTCCTCCATTTTTTGACAAATGCTGTGCAGGAATGGGAGGTGGTTAGTGTTGGTTTCTATTTCCCTCACTGAGCAGCAACTGCAGTCACAAGATATTGTTTTGCATTCCACAGTCAGAGTTACTGTTGGATTCCCACGGGAATGGGAGACTGGATGTGACGTTCACTGGTTTCCTGCTTTTCACTGTTCTCTCGGTTTCTTTGTTAGAGAGACAGTTGCTTCTCTGCTCTCACAGAGGCAAGATGCATGTTTGTATTCTCTCAGCATAGAGTGGAAATAAAGTTAAGAATGTGGCACATACTGCTTATCCTTCTGCTGTGTGGACTACTCTGCTTGGGCTCAAGATAAGACGAGCCTGTATCAGCTTCAGATGGGCCGAAGCTGGTCAAAATCTCACATTTTTGGGTTATGGGCCCAGCTAAACGGAATCGGAATGCCGGCAGAGGAACAGAGAGACGGATTGGACGTTATCTGCTCTGCGCGTCAAGATGATTGATGAGAGGTATGTGCTCATGCGCCGGGCAGCCTGCCAGCTCCTAATTAATGGCTTTATGGCTGGACTTTGAACTTTTAAAGCTGTTTGCCGCGGCACAGGCTCAAAGGCTTGGGAGGCTTGAAAACTGAAAGTACTTTTACAAGTGCTTTTGGAAGCACCTGTACACAGACGCAGCTTGATTAATGATGCAGAAGGCTAATGCCAGAGTCATGGCGGCCCTTCGGGATGCTTTCGGGATTCCAAAGCTCAATAAGAAGAATTATGCAGAGTGGGTACTCTACGCAGAGGCTCTTCTGCGAAAAGAAGGTCTGTTTACAGTTATTACAGACGCCCCCCCACCTCCAATAACAGATGTATGGGCAGCTAAGGATTCCAAAGGAAGGGGAACTCTTACATTGATAGTCTCCCCAGAAGAGCTCTGTCTGTTGCGTGATAAGACCTCAGCCAGAGAAATTTGGGACACCTTTAGAGATGCGCATTTGAGGACAGAAGCTGGTGCTTCTTTGTTCTACTATGCCAAGCTGCATGATATGGCACTTGCTGAAAGTGCAGATGTGCGTACACATCTGATGGAGATGCAGAATCTGAGACATGAGCTGCAACAGAGAGGACTCACCTTTCCAGAGGCTGTGTATTCCTTCATGATACTACATTATTTGGGTTCAAGTTGGGAGTCCGTTGCCACTCAGATTGCTGTTCTGCCAACTGCTCAGATCACAGTAGCCCATGTTACTGCCGTGATTCAGAATGAAGCAGACCGCCGGGGTGCTAGCTGCATCGGTAAGGGGGAGTCTTCACAGACGTCATCTCAGAATGCAGTGGAACCACCAGATGGCGCCAAAGCTTTGAAGGCAGTGAAATGCTACTTGTGTGGACGTCTAGGCTATATGAAGAGGGAATGCAGATTTCCCAGGGCCAAGACAAAGCAGCGCAACGAAAGCTCATCACGTGGAAAAGGCAAAGGCAAAGGCAAAGGTCCAGTGTCCAGGACAACGCAGCACAAGGCAATGGTCTCACGCTTCACTCCAAAGGTTGCAAAGGTCCAGAAGACGTCTAGATCTTTCTTCGTGGTGGATTCGGGCGCAACGCACCACTTATGCAACAACAAGCGACTGTTCGTGTCTTTTACACCACAGGAAGGTGCGATTCACCAGGCGGATGACCACACAATCCCCAGTCAAGGCTACAGAACTGTTGTTCTTCACAGTTTGGACTTATCGATACAAAATGTTCTCTACATTCCAGATGCTGCACACAATCTACTCAGTGTTGCGCAGCTGAATGAACGGAAAATTGACGTTTCCTTCAAGAACAAGAAGTGCACCATCACAAAGAAAAACGATTATGTATTGCATGCTGAATATGTTGATCGTTTGTTTGTTTTGTATTTCGATGATGTGCAGGATGAAACTTGTTGCATTGCAGGTTCTAACAAAAGTTTGCATGCAGGATGTATTCATGATTTTCACAGGAACTTTGGTCATTTACATTTTGAGGCAGTATCCAAAATGCCTGCCTTGGTTGAAGGTATGACTATTAAACCCTGCAGGTACCACATGAAGTGTAAGGCATGCACAGCAAACAAAGTGAAAATGGCTGCGAAAGGTAAGGTGTCTAGTAGGCAAGCTACAGAACCATACCAGGTAGTGCATGCTGATTTGGTTGGTCCACTGTCGCCCTCTTTGGGTGGAAACAGGTACTTCATGGTTCTTATTGATGCATTTTCCAGATATATTTATGTGTACAATCTCGAGCAGAAATCAGAGGCTTTTCCAAGGTTCAAGGAATTCTGTGCTTGGTTGGAAAATGTGCATGGTAAGAAGATAAAGACTCTTTTCACTGATCGCGGGGGGGAATTCACTTCTCAGCAGTTTGAAGCTTTTCTGACTGAGAAAGGAATTCAACACGATTTGTCTAGTCCTCGCTCGCCATGGCAGAATGGACTTTGTGAGAGAGCAAATCAGACATTGCTTCAAGGTCTAAAAACCTTGCTGCATGATGCCAATCTTCCAGAGAGTTATTGGGCGGAATCTTTGGCGTGTTTTGTTTACAGTTATAATCGCAGGTTATCTTCAGCAATTGGTTGTACCCCCTATGAGAAGATGTTTGGCAAAAAACCTTACATCAAACACATGAGATTTTTTGGTTCTGACATGTGGGTTCACACACCACAAAGCTCCAAGTTGACATGAAAGATCTTGGTGTGGTAAACAACTACCTATCTCTGGAAATAGAGAGCGATCAAGATGGTAACATTCTAGTACACCAGTCACGGAAAATTGCTGATGTGTTAAGCAAACTAAACCTGATGGATGCTAACCCTGTAGACACACCGATGACAACAGGTTATCAGGTAGATGACACTGAAGAAGCATTTTCTGACACTACACTGTACAGAAGTGTGCTAGGCAAACTAAACTTCATTGCCAGATGTTCAAGCCCTGACATTGCTGTTAGCTGTAATTTGCTAAGCAGACAAGTCAACAATCCTACTGTTAAGGATTGGAAAGCTCTGAAACGCATAGCTCGCTATTTGAAAGGCACTATGCATTACAGACTGAGATTTAACAATCAGAAGTCTGGTGGTCTTGAGATATTTGCAGATGCAAGTTTTGGTGGTGACACTACAGACAGGAAAAGTACGTCTGGAGTTTGCTACATGTACAATCAGGGTCTATTTGATTGGTCATGCAAGAAGCAAACAACAGTTAGCTTAAGTACTTGTGAAGCTGAACTGAATGCACTGTCTTATTCACTTAAGGATTGTGAATGGTTATTACAATTATGCAAAGACATGAAAATTCCTGTCAAATGTCCAATCCAGGTTTACCAGGACAACAAAGCATGTTTGGCGTTGCTGAATTCTGAAGGTTGTAAGCAAAGCACGAAGCATTTGCAATTGAAACTGCAACATGCTAAGGAACGTGTTCAGAAGGGACTCATAACGGTGTCCTATATGCCAGGTAATGAAATTCCTGCTGATGTATTGTCCAAGGTTGTATCAAGGGATCAACACTGTAACTATGTGCAGAAGTTGGGTTTGTACTGATATTGTACGAACACGCTGCCCAGTGATGTTCACAGAAAGGGGGAGGATGTTGGTTTCTATTTCCCTCACCGAGCAGCAACTGCAGTCACAAGACATTGTTTTGCATTCCACAGTCAGAGTTACTGTTGGATTCCCACGGGAATGGGAGACTGGATGTGACGTTCACTGGTTTCCTGTTTTTCACTGTTCTCTCGGTTTCTTTGTTAGAGAGACAGTTGCTTCTCTGCTCTCACAGAGGCAAGATGCATGTTTGTATTCTCTCAGCATAGAGTGGAAATAAAGTTAAGAATGTGGCACATACTGCTTATCCTTCTGCTGTGTGGACTACTCTGCTTGGGCTCAAGATAAGACGAGCCTGTATCAGCTTCAGATGGGCCGAAGCTGGTCAAATTCTCACAGTTAGAACAGCTCACAGCGTGCTGTACATACTGGGTTATGGATGCACATCCAACTCCTTTGATGTGCCCATGGATTTCCTCCTGCCTGGGTTCTCTTTGGACCTGGTGGTTAAGACTGCCATCTATCTGGTGTTCTTTAGAGGATCTGCAGTGTTAGGCAACAGGAGCATCTCAATTTTCCTCTTTGCAAATAGCTTGAATTTGTCTGCATTTGCATGTGCTAACCTGTGAGCACAGACTGACATACAAATGTGATAACATCACCTGGAACTTTTCACTCTTGGCACTCCCTTGCTGTATCCAAATTCCCCCACCTGTAATGTTTACAGCAGCTCCAGCATTTCGGAATGCCTTGCGTTAATCACAGGTTTGAGCTATCCCAGGACTTAAACAAGCCTAAGGAGGACAGAGAAGTACTGAGAGCCGGATGGTTGCTGTATGCAAAACCTGAATATTAAATTCCATCTCCCTAGGATTGTTCTGTGTCCTGATTCTTACTCCTAACAATCCCAGTTGCGTAATCTGCTACACTACACAGTCGCTTACTAGATTACAACCCAAGAGTCAAGACTGGTCCTGCATATTGTACTGCAACAGTATGTGTCTGTGGCTAGGCCTGGCTTTCTGCACAAGACCAGTTCTGGTTTAGAGACATTGCCAGGCTCATCATCCTGTCTCTGCCTTACTTTCTTTCTTCAGATTCCAGGTTGGACAGTGATATAAGATGCTGATCTTCCTTCCATTCTGGTCAGAAAGTTTATTGGCATGAATAATACAGCCGCCCTGTGGAGCGCCCTCCCGTCAGATGTCAAGGAAATAAACAACTATCTGACTTTTAGAAGACATCTGAAGGCAGCCCTGTTCAGAGAAGTTTGAAATGTTTGATGTCATATTGTGTTTTAATTTGTTGAAAGCTGCCCAGAGTTGTTGTTGTTGTTGTTAAGTTGGTTAATAAAGGATATTCTGACACTGACTGATATATTTTCTTCTTAAGGCATTTCACAGGCTGCGGCACACAGACACCCCCCCCCAACAGAACAAGTTTTCTGTGCCTAAAAGGTGTCTGTATGCATCCTTGACTGCTTAAAAAGCGACGTTTTGAACATTTTGTCCTGACTGACAACTCCATGAGTCACTTTCAACAACTATCACAGAATTAATTGTAACTAGAATTTGCAAGTGTTACAGGTGGAAAATATAGGTGTGAAGGGTGGGTTTTTTTGGGTCATCAGAAGAGGCATACAAAGTTTGCTAATGGTCCCAATCAGAAGAAAATTGGAACTCAAGGATGGAGTTTTCAGAACTTTCTATCGAAAGAACCCTTGGCCAGATAGGACGATGAAGCAGCTTCCCAGAAAATCCAAATGGTTCATATTGGTTTGCAATATGTTCCATTCCTCCCACAGGGATTCTGGGATAATTGCAGCAAGTTAATCCATTCATAAAACATACCCTGCGCACCTGGAGAAATATAGCTTGGAAGGCAAATCCTGTTCACTTCCCTTTCCCAGCCTTGATAATCCCTCACTCATGGTGGCATCCAGGCCAGAATGCTTTTAAGCTTCAGAAAGTAGACCATTGTGTGCACCATGTTAGGGCAAGTCATGCCTCTGGCTTTAAGGTAGCCCCCCCGTGTCCAGCTGCAACATACAATAAGGCACTTAATGGTGGCATTAATAAGCAGTGTGTAACCTGGAAGCAGTCCTTCACTTCTGACAGTAGGAGCTGTTCGACAGCAGAATGGTCTCCCTTGGGAGGTGGTGGACTCTCCTTCGGAGGTTTCCACCCATGGGCATAGCCAGGATTTATGTTGGGGGTTACTTAAGTATTTTTATTGATTTACATGATTGGGCGGGCAGCTGCCCCCCTGCCCTCTGGCTACGCCCATGTTTCCACCTGTCCTGGATGCTTGAGCTGAGATTCCTGCATTGCAGGGAGTTGGACCAGATGACTCTCAATGTCCCTTGGTGCCCTCCAGGGATTTTGGATGACAACTCCCCCTAGCCCACGCTGGCTGGGGCTGATGAGAATTGTCATCCAAAACATATGGAGGCACCAGGTTGGCAAAGGCTGCTGCAAAGTTTCTAGAGCATAGCTCACAGATCATGCTGCACACCTGCTAAGAATGGCTAAATGTTTTGAGCCGGGGCATTTGAACAGCAACTTTCCACAACCTCCGTTTGCTGTTCTGGCACATAACCATTAAGTGTCCAAGGAAACATTTCTCCTTGGGCAACAGTCTTCTTCCTGTGAGAAGCCAGAGATATGCCTTTCCTGGTCCTTGGATGAAGCATTTTGTCCATATATATTGTGGGGATCACATGTGCTATAGCAGCACCATTCATTTTCCTGGATTTTAGCCCCATGGACCCCAGATCTGCTGTGCACAAAGTTGGCTACCCAAGTCATTCTAGGAGACCCTAAGCACAAGTCTATTACTAGTTAGTTACAGCCTCTGTCCCTCCCTCCATTGAGCTCAGAGCAGTGCTTTGGCTTCACAACAACCCTGCAGGGTAGGTTAGGCTGAGAAAGTGACATGTCCTTTCAGTGAGCTTGAATGAGAATGATACTTGAATGGGGATGTAAGCCCAGGCACTTTCCACATCTAAATCTAGCATTTGAATCACTGCAACATACAAATTCATCAGATAGTTAGACCAGCGTTCTCAGATGCAAGCAATGGTGTTTGAAGGTGGGGGTATGTCACCCCCATTTTATCTGTTTGCAGTAGAAACACTAGTATCCATGAAGCAAGAATGTTTTCTATATAAAGTATTTTCCTTCATATGCTGTTCAGGACAGAGAGTTGCTCCATGAGTGTACAGTGAATCACTTCAAACCGCCATCAGTTATTGACTGCTGAAGTGTTTATATGGAGATGATCAGGGAGAGTCAGCATGCAAGGCTGGTAAGGCGATGGCAGCTTCTGTGGGGGAGAATGAGCAAGCTTTTTAGTATCACAAAGCTCTTCTTCAAGCAACCTGGCAAGCTTTAAATTTAGCTCTGAGCTTTCAGGAATAGTGAACCATGGCTTCTTATATTCTGTGACACCCAGTTTTGTTTGTTTAATGCTACCAACTTAAAGTGCTAAGGGGTTATTATAAAGCTGGTAACTAACGTGGCATTGCAAAGTAATATACCGGGTACTTGGAGTTATTTTTAGCTTTAATAGAGAACAGCTCGAAAGCTTTCACATTGTCACCTACGGAAACCCGATTTACAATTTACAAAAACAATAGCTTAGGTTACAGGGTACGAATTATTTACTCCCTCGTTTCTCCGTTACTCACAGGCCCATCTAGTGGCAGCTGTCCTTCGTCTTTCTCGTCCCACCACCCCATTTTACTCCCGTACAGGTACATGTGTCCTTCTGATCCCTTCAGCTAATGCAGTCACCAAGTCTTGGCATCAGCTAGAATGAAATCTGTAAGTTCATAACAGGAGTCATGCCCTGGACCAAGAAGAATGGGGCTTCTCCTTGCTGGAGACATCACAGACATGAGTATATGGACTGAGATCTCAGCTAAGCATGTTGGCTACTGGCTCAGACCCAAGTCAATACCCTCACTATAACCAGGTCAAAAAGAATGGCTCGGGGTGGTGCACTTTCAAAGGCAGAGACAAATACAGGAAACACAAATGACTGTATCTGATTTAAATTTATTTTCTCGACCACCCCCGCCTCCAGGTCGCCCAGTCATACACTTCGGAAGTTTTTCTGCCTCACTTCCTTATTTACATTTCTCTGCCATCCACAGATGCTTAAAGTGTTTTTCAGGGGGAAGGGAAAGAGATTGTATGCGAGGGTAAAATTACATTGATTTAGCCGATCAATTCCCTAGTTATATTAAATCTGTTACGACCATCTATAATGATAAAGGGGGAGCTAAGTGGTTATTGGACTCCAGCTCGCATCGACCTCCTTCAGCATGGCCAACAATCAGGGATGATGGAAGTTGCAGGACAACTACAACTGGAGGGGGTGCCACATTGGCTATTCCTGTACTTGAGACACACACACACACACACACACACACACACACAGACTTTTGGTTGCTGACTGAAAAAGACTAAGGCTGCAACCCTAGGCACACTGACTTGAGACTGAGTCCCCATAAACTCAGTGGAATTTATTTGCAAGCAAACATGCATGGGACTTGGATGTTGCTCTGCCCTGTGTTCCCCCAGACCCGCTTTCTGGTAGTTCACAAAACATTCAGAGTGAGCAGAAAACCACCTGAAGATTCACTGAAATGTCTTGCTTTTCCTAAAACCAGCCCCCTTGGCGACTTGACCGGAGGAAGCCCTTACCTGTAGGACACCTGTTTTCTGATGGTCAAGTGCAGAAACTGATCCTCCATCTGTGCCCTTAGGGACGGGCCTGCTTCGGCTCTCTCCTCTTCCGGCTGCGGGTTCAAGTTGTGGCCCAGCTGCAGGCTGGGGGGCAGTGACTTCCCGGCTCCGAGAACCCTCCATTCTTCTCTTGCAGAGCCTTGCCAGCTTGCTTTAGCTCCCCTGGCTGCTTCCTCTTCTCCAGCAGAATCACATCCTCTCCAGGTCCTGGGAGAAGCTTCGGCCATTCTCTCCCAAGGAAGACGGACTCAGGCACTTGCTTCCTGGGCACTTGCTACCCAAAGGAGCACAATACTCAGCCCTGCTGTTCTTGGCGGTGGGCTTGGATTTCTTCGGAAGGAAGGAGAGAGAACAAGGAAGTCAGCTTGCTTGGCTGAGAAGATTTGACAGGTTCTTCAATGGGTGGCTATTGTTGCTTTAGAATTATCACTCATCAGCCTCATTCATTCAGGAAAACAAAAGCACGAGGAATTCCGGGGAGGGAGGGAGATCCCAGAAACTTAGACAAGACGGAGGAATTACCCCTCCCCAAATCCAGCTGCCTTTCCAGAATGGCAGGAAGATTTTTTAAAAATGGGAATAAGAAGTTAATATGACGGCCAAAAGAGAAAAGGAGGCAGCGAACTCGGGAAGGATCAATTTCCGCCAGAGGAGATGGGGAAGCCTTATTCTTTTTCTGTTCTTGCTGGAGGGAGAAAAGGACCAGTCAGGGTTTCTTCATGACCTGGGATCCGATGCTCTCCACCTCGGCGTCTTCCTCCAGAGCAGCCAGGGCAGCCGTGATAAGAAAGCACCCGCGGAGAAGGAGAGACTCCGCGGACCCTGCTGCCGCAGAAGACAAAGCGAAGGGAGAGAGGGAGGGGGGAGAGGGAGGGAAGGGAGCTGTGCTATCGCTACACCGGAGAGCAGTGTCACCTAAGAGACACTCGGAAGCCGGCACTTAACCCTTGATAATCCAGGCAGAACTGAGCCTTGGAACTGTGACCTGATCCTAGAATGCCCTGAGATTTGGTTGAGAAAGGATTCGATCTTAAAGAGAGGGGGTTCCCCAGGGATCATCTAGTCTGACCTCCGTGCACACGTGGAAAATCCGAAGGGTGTGAACAAGACCACACGCGAAGAAGAAAGGTGGGTGAGTGGTCTGCTAGGGTGATTTCTGATGGATAAAGAATAGGGTTCATCCAATAATAGCGTGTTTTTATTTATTTATTTAAAAATAGTGGGCGGGGCGTAGCTGTTTCTTTGGCAACTCGGTGATCTCCAGCTGTTTCAGACTAGTCGCATCCATCTGTAGTCCAAAACAGCTGGAGGGCACCAGGTGCTGTACAAAAAGAGTGAATAGATGTTTTAATTCACATTTTTTTGTCTTAGGCAAGTCACGCCTCTGTAAAATGGAAATAATAATGACCTGCCTCGCAAAGGAAACACCGTGAAATCATTTTTTTTTAAAAAAAAATCCTGCTTACTTATCCGTATAATGAGGTGGGAGTAAAAATGGGTGATTGCAGGAAACAGATGGGAATGAAACTTTTATAGCTTGCTGTGCTATATATAGTGCTATCAAAATAAGAAAATAATAAAAAGGACTCTTAGGGGGTGTAAGGCTTTAGCTTCTTCCTTTGGAAAAATGGCTGCATGCTTGCCTTTAGCAGAAGGGAATAAACTTCAGGTAAATCTCATTATCCCAAGACTCTCCCAATTTATTATTGCTGGTTAAATGTGATTCTCTCCAGAGCTGACACCTCCCTTGCTCTCTGGGCATCAAATAGTTGGGCAACTGTCAGAGGTGCCTACTGGACAGTGCCCAGGACATGAATCACAATAAAAGACAAAATGCATGCATGCACATAATGTGGGCATTCTTTAAAGGTTTGTTTTTGCTTTTATATCTTTAGCTCTTTCCGGGATGAGTACTTTTATACTCTACAAGGTGAATACTCAAGTCTTCCTTTACAAGAAACAAAAGCATGTCAACAATTAAAAATTGAACACCTTTCCTTCTCACCAATATACCCTAATTCTTATTTATTTCCCACCCCCCCCCCTATTGCTTATTTGGAATCCCGTGCACTTCCCCTCTCTAACACAGGAGGGCACAGTTTCCATTTTTTATCCCCCCACCCCCCAAATGAAACAGGTATTTTTCTTCCAGCAGCTTGGCTATCCACTAACGAAGTTGCCTAACACATCCTCCTGTGCTTCCAGGGAAGGGTTAGGGCAAGTGGAATTCTTCCTAGGTCTTCTTGCATTAAAAGAGTCATGGAATATTGCATCCATTGTCTCTACATCTCTACCCTGCTCCCATGTCTCTTGGTCACACTGGAAAGTATGCACCTGGCTTCTAGAGGCTAAGACAGCACTGCACCAGAAAGCAAGCACGACTTGGTGAATGGGCAGGGATGCTCTGAGGACTGGACTAAATTATACCAGTAGGAACTGGCTCTATTACATGAAGTACCCAGCCAATGAGGATGTACAGCACATGCAGATATTTATTCTCTAAAGAACCAATTTGATCTTGATGCACAAAGATCAGGTAACATTCAGAAATATTCCCTTCCTCTCTCTCTCCCACTACCACCCCCACATGTATGTATGTATGTATGTATGTATGTGAAACCACAGCAGGATTGTGCCTGGTCTGCATTTGTAATTCAGGGGATGAGGCATCTGACTGTCCTCTCCAGAGATCTGTAGTGCCATTTATATACAGTTTCTTATCACCAAAGGGTGTGAATCTGCTTGGCCACCAATCCAGAATCTTGGCCTTGTTGCTGACCTCTCATCCGTTGCCAAGAAGAAGAGGAGGAGGAGGAGTTTGGATTTGATATCCCGCTTTATCACTACCCTAAGGAGTCTCAAAGTGGCTAACATTTTCCTTTCCCTTCCTCCCCCACAACAAACACTCTGTGAAGTGAGTGAGGCTGAGAGACTTCAGAGAAGTGTGACTGGCCCAAGGTCACCCAGCAGCTGCATGTGGAGGAGCGGGGAAGTGAACCCGGTTCACCAGATTATGAGTTCACCACTCTTAAGTTCATCACACTGGCTCTCTTGAGAGCAGGCAGCCTTTCAGTAATGGAAAGGAAGAGGCATCAGAATGAGTTCCTCTCCTACTGTCTCTTAGCTGTCTCATAAAGCCCAACCAGGTTCAGTGCTGCCATCTTTCTTTTTCTGGGACTCAGTTATCTTCCTGCACAAAAGGGGATTTCAGCATGGCATGCACGCATATCTGTAAGAAGGAGCTGCTTGAGACGTGCAAGAGAAACCGTGCCTGCTCTTTGCAGACCCGAAACCACCATGAGGAAATAATGTCAGCAGCACCTGGGAAGTGAAAGGGTCCTTGAATCTGCGCACCAGAAACAAGTCATGTCACTTGTGTGACATCTCCGCCTTTTACATTCTCTTTGCCTCACTAGGGTTACACCCATCAATCGCTTGACATCTCAGCCCCCCACACTTCCCACATCTTCCTACTGCCTTGTCGTGACTTGTCATTTAGCCAAACCCCCCAGGCTTTCCTTTCAAATCTCTCCCATGACTCAGCCCCATCAACCCCCAGATAGCATTAGTTCCTCTTCTCTAGATCAGCTGTCATCTCCTCTGCCCAAGGTGCACATTCAGCCAATGAAATGTACATTCATTTGGTGTCTCTTACTTGCCTCAGCATACAAGATACTATCAAATGGTGGCACTTTGTTAGAGTAAGGCTTGGACTATGGGCTATTTTTCTGCACCTATGCTCTTATTTCCACCTTCCCAAGAGAGAGCCCAGCTCTGCATGGGCCTCACAGTAGCCGGAGTAGCCAGAAATGGGTGGCTAGATAACACGCCTTTCAAAAAACCATTTGGCTCCAAGGATTAATGCTCCCTTTTGCCCATGAACAGAGATCAGCCTTGCAATTGCTTTATTTCTCCTCTACTAGACCACTGAAATACAAAAATGGATTCTGTGCTCTTTAAAGCTCAATGTTCTTTATGCTTCTGCCAGATAGCCAGAGGCTGATCTAGCTGAGTCAATATGCTTCTCACATTTAAAACCAGCCTAAGGGGATTTCACAGCAAACATGAGTCTGAAACTCTGCATGGGCAAAGGAAGCTGGGTGGGGGATTCTAGGGAGAAAGTGACTGTCGGGGGGGGGGGGAGAGTTAGTCACCCACTTGTCTCTCTTCTCCAGTGCAGGCCACTTCCTCCTGTTGGTAATGTGTGTAGCTTGCTAACCAAGTCTCAAGTTGGCTTGTTGATAATCGGGAATACAGTGGTACCTTGGTTTAAGAACAGCTTAGTTCAGGGGCCAGCAAACTTTTTCAGCAGGGGGCCAGGCCACTGTCCCTCAGACCTTGTGGGGGGCCAGACTATATTTTTTTGGGGGGGGGGGAATGAACAAATTCCTATGCCCCACAAATAACCCAGAGATGCATTTTAAATAAAAGCACACATTCTACTCATGTAAAAACATGCTGATTCCAGGACCGTCCGCGGGCCGGATGTAGAAGGCGATTGGGCCGGATCCAGCCCCCGAGCCTTAGTTTGCCTACCCATGGCTTAGTTTATGAACAACTTGAATTAAGAACACTGCAAACCTGGAAGTAGGTGTTTTGGTTTGTGAACTTTGCCTTGGAATAAGAACATGTTTCGCTTCCTGTTGAGTGTGTTTCATTTGTAAATTGAGTCCCCCACTGCTTTGGGAAAGCACACCATGGTTGAAGAATGCTTTGGTTTAAGAACGGACTTCTGGAACGGATTAAGTTCGTAAACCAAGGTACGACTGTAGTTGCTGCAGCGAACACTAATAGCAAAACACGTTCTCAAAGTGCCTGCCAGGCATTGCTCAACTACAGTTCCCATCACCCCTGGCCATTGGCCATGCTTGTTGAGGTTGATGGGAACTGTAGTTCAGTAACATCTGGAGGGCCAATGGTTTCCCACTCCTGATATACCTAAGGCAGCAGCAAGAGGTATCAGCAGACGGCTGTGGGGAGGGGGTAACCCTAAGTTAACGGAAGTACAGAAATGTATAGGAAAAAAGGTCTGAGTGGGGAGACTCTCCAAAACAGCCTAATGAGGACTGGTTATGCTCTGTGGCCACTGAGTGTCTGTTGGGGGGTGGAGGGAGAATAGAGCAGTAGCCTCTGGATTTGGCCCATGAAGCCTTTGGAGTGAACCCCGCCCACCTTGCCCACATCTAATGTCATTTGACAATAAGGCATGGGAAAGTCCAAGCCCTTC